GATCCTCAGCACCACATACAAAACAAAGATATGTTGTGTCCGCCGATAACTAAAAAATAAATATTAAAATTCTCTCTCTCTCTCTCCCTCTCTCACTCTCTCTTAAAAAAAAAAATTCACATTGCTTATAGCTCCAGGTTACAGTATGTGCAGTACTACGAATGTCCTTTTTCTAGTTGCTTAGCCCCTTAAAGTCTCCTGCTTCCTTCTGCCAACACCTTGAGCCCAAATCAATCTAGGTTCAATTTAGATGGTATTTTGTTCTTATATCACAATACTTTCATTGAAATGGAAAAGAATATATACAGCAAAATTTGCTTTTAAATGTATCCAAAAGTTTAATATGTTGCCTTTTAAAAGGAGAGATGGTTTAAATAAGAAAGAGCTCCTAGGCAGCAAGCTCCTAGTGTTCTGAAATATTTCATTTTTAATATGAGCAATGATATTCACGTGATATATAGTTCTTCATTAATTTTATAGAGTTTTGCAAACATTTTATGTGGTTAGTATGAAGTAGAAAATACTATCGATGGCTTAGTCTGACCTAATATGTCAAAGAGAATAAATCTCACCAAAATCTAGGCCCTCAGTGAAGTTTCTGGCATCCAATTATATATATTTCCTGTCAAGACACCCCTACAAAGTGAAAGATAAGTTGTTGAATCTGTAAACACCTATCACCAATGTAAACACATGATGTTTGTTGGACCACTATGAATTGGGGAGGGGTTTTTGTGTGATATTTTGCTCAGTTGACATCAAATCTTACAAACTTTGGGAAATTGAGCATAAAAGAAGGGTCACCAGCTTATCCAGGATGCAGGCATGAAGTTCTCCCAGTGCTCACTAACGATCCAGAAGTTCCAATATGGCCAAAGTGTCTGTGGCAGATCAAGAGGTTGAATCCAGATTGTCAAACCTACTTAAAAACACATCTGTGGTTCTGAGTAAATGTATGCTCTCTTTGATAATTAGTTTCTTTAAAAAAATATTTCTTGGCCTACTATTTGGCCCTAGTAGAAAAAGAATACCTGATCACAGAAGACCATCATAAATTGTTTTAGCTGATCCATCAAAGTAAATATCAGAGCATTTTTAATGGTATTGGGCATAAATTGGTTTAATGGGCTAGTGACTCACAATCCCAATGTGCTTATTTCTATCACAATGCCACCTCTCCCTCAATCCTCATATTTTTCATGATTGTCTGTGGGAGTGGGGGGAAGCTTGGCTTACAGATCAATATGCTCATTATTTGACACTCGCTAGAACTAGAGTGCTGAAAGTTTTAGCTCTACTCAGAAGTAGCCCCAATGATCTGTAACAAATGGAAATACCCCCACTGAGAGTAACTCCAAACTATACATACAATAGTAGACTTTACCTGGGGGTAAAAAGTGGCTTGAGATACAGATTCATATCAATTCATGGCCAATGCCTGATGACTGACTGGGTGGTCAGGGACATGGGAGTGTCAAGCTTGTGGAAGGGACATCCAGGAAGTTTATGGAAGACATATGAGATTATGTCTCTCAAAATAGATTCAGAGTATAAAGATACTTGTTATATTAATACGCTCCACTGAAGAAAAAGGTTACTCATTATGCAATTTCTTATTATACAGAAAACGAGGATGTAAGCTTTATACAAGCCTAAAATATTATTATCCTCTCCAAATGCCCACATAGTTTAGCCTTTTTTCTGGACTAATGCATATCCAAATAAATAAATAAATATTGTGATAAACTTGGAGAATTCTCGAGAAAGCTGGGCTTGGCAAGGAGTACTTGGCAGGAGCGTGCATGCTAAAGTGGGGCAGGAGACAGCACCACCAGGAGGTCTGGGTTTGCCACTTCTGGAATCTCTGCAATTACTTGTTGCTGCATCCTCACTTTGCTGCCTTGACTGCCTGCAACCTGGTGCTGATCCTGCACAGGTGAGAGCACCTGGAACCGGGAGAATCCTTCAATGGCTGGCACGACCTCGGACCATAGCCTGGTTGGCCACGAGGAATGCTGGCCAGGCAGGCACCAAGAGATGCTAACAAGCCATGAATTTGATATCTGCTTTACCTGGATGCAGAAAAGGGCAATCTGAACCCTCTGGAAAGTGCTGAATGCCATTGACTAAGATGTGGCTGCCAGCTGCAGGTGGTGAGGATTGGGAGCCTGGATACGCCACACTGTGGGACTCTGACTGACCTCAATAAAGCACAAATTGCTGCCAAGAAATGGAGGCCCACCTCCAATGGATCCTGATCATCCCTGCTACAGCAATTTCAGTAAGGATCACATATATGCAGGCCTTACTGAGGATCAGCTACCCTTCTGTGAAAGTGTGAAGAACACTATTGCCTAAGTTCTTCTCTTATTAAATGAATAAATCCCCCACCAAATCAAGGAGGGGAAACGAGTTCTGACTGCCATCCATGGCAACAACTTTAAGGGGATCACTGAGCATTAGGAGTGTCTCTCTGAAGAGGCCATCATGGAGCTGAACTTGCCAACTGGTATTTCCATTGTCTATGAATTGGACAAGAACTTGAAGCCCATCAAGCCCATGTAGTTCCTGGGGTTGAAGAGACCTTTGGTGCAACTGTTGCTGCTCAGAACAAGAAATAAATGCAAAACAGTACACATTTGTACCAAGGAATGCCCTGCCCATCCTTTCCTCTGCACCTATCTCCTGCATGTATCACACTGACCACATCTGTAGGCATTTTAAGTTGCAACTGCTAATGGGGAATGGTAGCTTTCATTTTAATTTTAACATTTAGTCTCCTGCACCCACTTTCTTCATAGAATCTAGTCATAATAGGACCCTGGGACACAGATTGTCAGTCCAAGCCCAGGTAATGCTCCTCTTATTCGGGAGAGTTGAAGTAGTGATTCTGGCTTTTTCGCAGTGCCATTTAAGAACCTCCATTAGAACAGAATAGGGAGGAACTAATAAGAAGAAGCCTGAGAAGAGAGACAATTTATGTTCCTAAGATCCCATTCTGCACTATTCTGTAGTCAGGTCTTAGGATGGGGCAAGGTGGGGGGAGCCTCTAGTTATTCCAGTGAAATATAAAGGTAACTCACATGGCAATTAAAAAAAAAAAGATATTTCCTCCCTGACCCAGAGGAGCTGGTTCTAGAAGGTTGGTATCAATACTGAATTGAGTTTGTGTTACACTCACTTTCATAAAAAGAAAAACATGTATATATATAATACCACCCTTCTGGGGTTTCTAGTGGTGATTAAATAGTCCCACTTGTGATTACCAGAAAATAAGCCATTTCTCACACCACGTGGTATAAGCTCCTTGGCCTCTAAGGTGTGTATATCTTTCTATATATCTTAGAATTCCTCCTCTGCCTTGTTTTGTAGTAGTGAAATGCAACTTGATCATGTGTAAGTGTGTCTTTCATTCTGATTTCTGAACCATGTTCCAGTTGCTTGGCCCTGCCACTAGGGGCCAGTACTCATTTTAAGCATAACTATACAAAATCTTTTGTCCAGATCAGTATGCCAAAGGAGTGATATGAAATTTAAAAAAAAAAAGAAAAAGAAAATGTAATAATATGCATATGTCACATTCTTTAAGTGAAATTCAATATGAAATTTTCAAAACCAAAAGCCAATTCTTGTGAAAATTTAAAATGCCATAGACTAAAAAGAAAATATTCTTGCAATTAGTATTATGTAAAGAGAAAAATAATGAGATTATCAAATTTTATGACCTGTTGGATTTAGCCATAATGATAACCAAAGTAAATGTATAGCCTCGAATGTTTTGCTAATAACCAAAAAAAAAAGACTAAAAACTATGGATTCTTTTATTTCTTTTACAGTAATTTATTTTAAGAAGCTAGAAAAATAAGATACAAAATACAAAGGAATAATTAATAGAAGAAGGAAATATGGTGGAATAGAGGAAGGGTACATTTTTTAGCAACTCCGTAGCCTGGGATTCAAGCAGCAGGAGTATGGCTTCTCAATGAAGTGGGGGACCGAGGGGATTCACTGAAATTAAATACTGGATGGTAAGAGAATCTTAGAGACACAGAAAGTCAGGTTCTTTGAACATAGGACGAAAAAGAGTACTTTGGAGCTAGGCTGGTGGCACCAGCAACACCAATTTAACTCAGAGGGGAGGAGTGACTGGCAGAAAGAGACAAAAACAGAGTGAATAAATTTGGCACAAAAGAATCCATAGAACAGAGAGACAGTCTGCACGATAATCTGTTGTTTGAAAAGTACTCTGCATTTCTTGGAGAGCTGAAGCAAAGGGCCATCTTGAAACACCCACATTGTGGCTTTCTGCTTCAGAGGCCAGGAGATCAAAGTAGACTGTTTGCTGTGTTTTTCTCACCTAACCAGTGGAATATAGCTAAAGTTATGGCATGTAACTGTTAAAGCTAGATGATTAGAGACATTGCTGCTTTCATTTGTGTTCTTAGGTCACTTGTTCTAGAGGAAGGTGGCTACTGTATTGTGAGAACATGCTATTAGCTTGAGAGTGATTTCCATATGATGAGGAGCTGAAGCCCTCTAACAGCCAATGCCAAGTTACCAGCCAAGAGTGAGCAATCTAAATTAGATCCCTCAGCCCTTGTTAGTCCTTCAGAAAACTGCAATTCTAATCACAATCTTAATCATAGGGATTTCTCTATGGCATTTTGAGTAATAGAGGCATAATTTTCAAATAATGCTGTCTTATAATTCTTCTAACAAATAAAATAGTGTAATCTCTAGAACAAGGAATGCATGTGGAAGTATGTATAAAGAAAGGTGAAAAAAAGAATAAATAATAAATGAAAAAGCAGAACAAAGGGAGAAAAGAATTATTCTATTATTAGTGGAAAATGAGAAACTAGAAGAGGATTGATTAAAGTGAAAAAAACAGGGGAATATGTCCATAAATCTCTGTGACACAAGAATTGCATGTACATTACAAATAATCATAATTTTATGATGGGTCTGAATTTTCATGGTGTCAATGAATAAATTGATACTCATAGGTAAATCTTCTTCATCTCACATATTGAATTCCTTTTAGAATCACAGAAAACATCATTCCAACCCCATCCTCTAGATTCCCAGAAAACTATTGTAGCACACTGCTCTGCAGAAAAATTGGGCTCATTTTGGTGCCAGAATCTAAAGAGAAACAAAGGTAAATAGAATTATTCAATGAATGCATAGTGACTGATCAGAAAGTATATAAGTTTGGTGTCTAGCAAAATTGGGTTGAGAATGAGAGAACATTCTAACAGTTTCTACCTTTTCTCATACTGCCCCTCACCAAAAATTTAAGTATGGAAGCACATTTTCATGTGTTTGTCTAACATTCTCCATGATGTGGTGAACCTCAGCCTGCAGTCTGATGTTGACTTCCTCCTCTTTACAGAGCCATTTTCCTGACCTAGCTTATTAAAAATTTCTTTCTTACCAGCACATCATAGAAGCTTCCTCTTTATATCCATTTATAAAGAAGCATTTGCATGCCTCTTGATAAGCTTCTCTGTTCTCATACAGCTGCCTTAAATGAGCATCAGGTACCTGAGTCTAAACATAAATAAGTTACCCTGCCTCTGAGGAATACACTATGGAGCAGGGCTGGGTAGTTGGTCATTAGTTTTGGAATTAAAGACAATTTTACTACTAATTTATCTTGCTATTAATCAAATAAATTAATCTTCTCAGGGATTAGATTTCTCATCTACAAAAACAAATCTTAATAAAGGTGTCTAGATAGCTCACAAGATTGTGTGAGAGTAAAATAAGGTAGTACATAATTAAATTTCTTTTTAAACGCCACAAAAGTATAATTACATAATTGTTAAAATTACACATAGTCCTAACCCAGATATTTTGAATATTACTTATTAGAATTAATTTAAGTGGCTACTTATGTTTACAAGTCTATAGAAAACAATGCAATGACTAAGAGCTCCATTTTTGGATAGCCATGGGATTGAAACAGAGTTTCTCATCATATTCATTCAATAATCTTGAGCAAACTTTTTCATTTTTCCTCTGAAAAGTGAATTCTAAAACAGAGAAGTTTTCTTAAGATTTAAGAGTGTTCACTTAGTAAAAATTTAATAATTGTTAGATTATGTTATCATCATTATAATTATTAATATTAATAGTCTCAAGATCTTAACAAAATTTCCTAAATTTTCTAAGTGTACAAGGTCCTAAATTTCATTAATCTAGGTCTGAACTCACCTGACATTTTTTTCGAAAGGTGTATGATCAATCCATTGCCAATTATTATTACCTTGTGGATCAGAGAGCCCCAAAAAATAAGAAAATGTTTTATTCAGCTGCTGGATAATGAAATTCTGCATGAAAAAAAATAGGAATTAATAGACTTTGGAATTTCCTTATTAAACAGAATAAGTGTTTTTAATATCCTTTAAAGTATACTAAGAAAACACAGGATGCAAGGAACAGTCGCATGGTGGCACACTAAACAAATATGCAGGCAAAAAACATCATCATTGCAAGGAGAAAGTGCTAACACATAAATTCCCACCATTCATTCTTTTCTTTATCAAGAGACAGAAGGGTTTTAAATGGCCATAAGTTCATTTTTGTGCTTTTGACCACTTTTTTATTTTATAAGTTAAGATGCTGTGATGGTTAGTTTTATGTTTCTACCTGACTGGGCCAAGGGGTGCCCAGATTAAAACTTTATTTCTGGGCATGTCTGTAAGTATGTTTCCAGGTATTATTAGCATCAGAATGTGCAGAATCAGTAGGTAGATTGCCGTCCTCAGGGTGGATGAGCATCATCCAATTTGTTGAGAGGAACAGAATAAAAACCAAAGGAAGGTATGACTTGTCTTAGATTTCATATTCTTTGCAATCAATGATTCCTGGACAAAGTTATGAAATAAATTTAGTAGTGTTCAACTATAAAGTAATAAGAATGCTTTAGGGCAACAGTAAAAAAGAAAAGAAAAAGAAAAAGGAGGAATTTATCCTATTTTCTTTGCTGTCTGCCTGACCAAGCTGTTATTCCATTGGCTCCCCTTATTTTCAGGACTTCAGATCTGAACTGCAGGTATATCACTGGTTTTCTTGAGTGTCCTGAAAATTCAGCAAAGTTGCAGGATGCAAAATCAACATACAAAAATCAGTAATATTTTCTTACACTAACAATAAACAACCTGAAAAGAAAATTAAGGAAGAAATAAATTTATAATAAAATCTAAAAAAAAAATACTTAAAAAAAAACTTAACCTAGGTCATGAGAGACATTGACAAAGAAAAATAAAGAAGACACAGATAAATGGAAAAGCATTTCATGTTCATAGATTGGTAAACTTCATATAGTTAAAATATCCATACTCTCCGAAGCAATCTACAGATTCAAAGTAATCCCTATCAAAATCCAAATGTCGTTTTTCACAGGTATAGGAAAAAATCTTAACATCCGTGTGGAATCTCAAAGGACCCCTGATAGGCAAAGCAATCTTTAAAAAGAAGAACAAAGAAGACTCCTACTTTCTGATTTCAAAATATATTCTAAAACTGTTTTGTAATCAAAGCAGTATAGTAATAGCATGCAGACAGACATATAGACCAACGGAAAACAATCAGAGTCCAGAAATAAACCTTGACATATGTGGTCAAATTATCTTCAACAAGGTGCCAAGACCACACAATGGAGAAAGGATCATCTCTTTAATAAATGATGCTGGATATACTGCATATCCAAATACAAAAGAGTAAAGTTGGGCCTTTATCTATGCCAAACACAAAAGTTACCCAAATATTTCAAAGATCTGAATGTAAGGTGTAAAACTGTAAAACCCCTAGAAGAAAACATAAGGGGAAATCTTCCTGTCATTGGAATTGGCAATGTATTCTGGAATATGACACCAAAAGCACAGGTAAAAAAGCAAAAATATACCAATAGGACCATATCAAACCAAAAAGCATCAATGCAGCAAAATAAGCAAACAACTAATGAAAAAGTACTCCATTTAATGGGAGAAAATATTTGGAAATCATAAATGATAAGTTGTTTATATCCGAACTGCAAAGAACACATACAACTTAACAACAGCAAAATAAGTAACCCAATTAAAACATGGGTGAAATACCTGACTAAACTTTTCTCCAAATAAATATACAAATGGCCAATAAGCATATATAATGTTCAACATCACTAAGCATTAGAAGAAGGCAAATGAAAACCTTGAGATATCACCATATACCCACTAAGATTGCCAGAATAAAAAGAAAAAATAGAAAATAGCAAGTGTTGGCATATGTAAATATATTCATATGAATGAATATCATTCCACCTTAAAAAGGAAAAAAATGCTGTTACAAGCAACAATATAGATGAACCTTGCAGACATCATGCTAAATGAAATAAGCCAGTCACAGAAAGAGAAATGATTCCATTTACATGAGGAATCTAAAGGAGTCAAACTACAGAAGCAAAAGATGGAAGAGTGATTGCTGTGGCCTTTGTAGATTGAAAAAATGGGTAGTTGTTGTTCAGTGGAAAGAGAGTTTCAGTTTTGCAAGATGAAAAATCCTAGAGATCAGTTGCACCAAAATGTGAACACAATAAACACAACTGAACTATGCACTGAAAATGGGTAAGAGTAAATTTTGCTATATTATTTTCTACAATTAAAAGATGTTTGATGAAAACTAAAGATGGAAAAAGTACCTGTTCTGCTTCTGTATTAATCACCACCAAATGTGCCCCCATTTCAGCACATTTCTCTTCGCTCTTAGACCAAAAATGTTGTTCAGTAGAAATGAGGTAGCAGCTTGAACCAAATGGCTTCCAAGTACTTGGGCAACATCCCCAGACTTTTTCTGTATTATATGAAAGAGAAATGTGATTGCAAGGTGAGACAAATTAGATGAAAGAGATATGTTCTATACACATAAAACTTCCAGGATCTTTGGTTGTTATTTAGAGTTGGTTTCTTAATTCAGGTATTAACTTTTCTCTGAATTATATAATTTGGGGGTCATCGAATTAATGTTAAGTAAACATTCTTAAATATTAAGTCTTTAATATTGACTAAGTTAGCCTACGAAATTCCTCTGGGTTTTTTGTTTGTTTGTTTGTTTTTCAATAATTGACTACTGAGTTAGCCTACAAAATTCCTCTGGTTTTTTTGTTTGTTTGTTTGTTTTCCAGTAATTGACTACTGGGGCTGGAGTTGTGGCTCAGTGGTAGAGCGCTTGCCTAGCACATGCAAGGCACTGGATTTGATCCTCAGCACCACATAGAAATAAATTTTAAAATAATAATAATTGACTACTGTTTTTGGAGATTTTTTAGTCCTGTTGTTCCCTGTCTCTTATACATCATAAGTTCAAAGTTGTCTTGAAGTTTTAAATGACTAACACAGATGAATCTGGAAATCCAATTCTACTCATGGATCTTGAATAAGCCACCAAGTTTTAGGTTTTTGAAATGTAAATTATAACTATTAGAATTATGCCTCATTAATTATGCCTGATTAGAATTCTGGCTCTACCATTTATTTCATGTGTCTTTAAGCTAGTTATACTACCTCCTCCTCCTCCACCACCCCTTTTATTTTTTCTTCCTTTTTATTAACCTTTTAACATTGGGTATCAAACCCAGAGCCTCAAATATGCTAGGCCAAATATCTACCACTGAGCAACTCCACCAGCCCAATATTACCTCTTTGAGTCTGTTATTTCATCTATAAAATAGAAATAATAAAAGCGACAACTTCATGGGGGATTTAGTCACATAATACATGAAAAACATTATAAAAGATACTTAACTCAGAATAATTACTCAATAAATGTCACCTACCACTAATTTTATCACAGTATCAAGCAATTTAAAGTGTTTTAATGATCAGTTCTCTTCCTTTTTCTCTTAGAAGTATTAGTTTGTAGGATTGAAGAAATCGATACCTAGCCATATATAAATTCACTGCCATATTTTTTTAGACATATACTCAGCATGACTTATACTATATGTATAATTTTAGCATAATATATATGTATGTTTAAATAATTAATTCTTTAAATTTGTTTTGAATTTTTACCAAGGTATGAAAATAGAGTCCTGGTAATTTGACTCAGTGGTAGAGCATCAGTTAAGCATAACAAGGCACTGAGTTCAATCCTCTGCACAGCAGAAAGAAAACATAATAATATATGTAGTCTTCTAGAAGTTTTTTTAAAATTTCACATGATTCATTCATATCATTATACACAGACTTTTGTTAATCATTTCTGTTGTTACATATTAAGTGATGAAAATCTATAGACTTATTCTTCCTTTTATAATGCTACAAAATGAATAAAATAGACAACATATTTATCAGTTTACTATTAGCTGCTTTTATAACATTACTTATGCATTCCATTCACTAACAATTCCTGATTTTTACAATGCTCCTGAAAGTACATATTAACGTATGAATTTTAAAATTTAATTATCTTTTTCAATGTTGGGTTTTGGCTTTGTCAATTAAGTTACATACTGAAACATTTTTCATATGTCAAATATACCAAATCTCAAAAAGTTGACCAAAAACAAATTGAAAACTCAGTTTTTTAGAATTTGTGAGGTCCTGTGTTCAATCTCCAACTACAACAAAATAAATATTCATTTTATAAAATTTATAAAATAAATATTTAAACTTGTACAACAAATATTATAAATATATATGTTCTTATGTAAATACTGATTTTAAATCCTTTGGCTATATGCCAGGGAGTGATATAACTGTCAAATGATGGTTACATTCTTCATTTTTTGAGGAATCTTCATACTGCTTTTCAGAGTGGTTGAACCAATTTGCAGTCCCACCAACAATATATGAATGTAACCTTTTCCCCACATCCTCTCAAACACTTATTATTGCTTGTATTTTTGAAAATTGCCATTCTGGCTATAATTTTATTTTTAATTTTCTAATTGCTAGAGATGTTGAACATTTTTTCATATATTTGTTAATCATTATATGTTTAAATATATAATTATATATTTATATATTTATAAAGATAAATATTATAAACATAAATATACATGAAATATGCTTATATAAATTTATATATTTATGTACTCATAAATATATAAATACAAAATTTATAAATATTTATTTATAAAAGAAATTTATTTATAAGAACCCACTGTGCTAAGAAAACCATAGGTCAGGGAAAGCAAAGAAACCATGCTTTGGATTCCCTTGCAACATATTCTTGCCAAATACCTAAAAAGAAAAAATTTTAACATCTCATAGAAATGGAAAGAAACATCTGCCTTCTCCTCATCTTTAAAAGGTTTTGCCATAGCAGTAGGGTATTCATTACTCCTGAATAACAAGAGTCTGACACCTAGATAGATTTGGAAGCATTAAGACCATAAGACCTCCATAGACATGTGCTTTGCATCTCTTTGGTATTTTGCACCATAGTGTAAAGCAGACAACAATCCTGAACCCAATTCTCCAACATCTGATGGTATTAGGAGGGAATTTTAGAGTGTGGTGATCTAAACCTGAAACAATCTGACCAGTAATAAAGCTAGTGATAAGAATGAAGAAGGATAGTATTAATTGGGAAACTTATCAAAAATGGGAATTTATTTTAATAAAGGGTGAAAATAATGTGGAAATTGTGAGAATTATTATTTCCAGAGTTAACTTGAGCAAACATGTGGGTGTTGACAGCATTCATCAAGATCAAGAATTTCAATATATCTTGATATACATAACTAAAGCCTGATATAAGCATATAAGTTTAGAGACACTTTGAAGATATCCAAGCAGAAACACACTCTCTCTCTCTCTCTCTCTCTCTCTCTCTCTCTCTCTCACACACACACACACACACACACACACACACACACACAAGAATACACCAATCTTAAGCTTAACCCTGAGTTTTCTCCGAGAAAGGGAAAGTGTAGATAAACATTGTAAATCTTTACCTGCCACTGTTGTCCCTTCACTGAAGCAGATTAGATTTGAATGATATGTGTGTAGTACAGACAGTCTTTTGTCATATTTGTTACTTGTAAAATGGTAAGTCACTGAAAAGGAAAGAAAAGGATGAGAATCCACCCATAGAGCCTCATGCTTTCTATCTGTACCAAGCCAGCTTACTTCTCACCCCACCACTCTTCTTCCTTATGCAAGCCAGTAGAGACCAGCCTGAATTATGCTTGCTTATATTCATTTATCTTACTTGTTTGTCTGTCTGATGATTTATTTTTGTCTCTTCCCCCACTATAATTTAAACTCTAGATTCTACAGCAGAGATTCTGTTTTCTACATCACTTACTTGCAAATACCTAGAAAAATGACTTGCAACAAACCATGTACAGATATTTATTGACTTCCTGGAAATCTGGTATACATTATTTTAGTAATATTGAAGAAGTCACAGGTTATATGAATATTTTCTAAATACTTCTGATTGCATGTAGCTATAGATAAACATGGTATAAATAACAACCAAGGGGAGACTTTAAACATTTGGAGATATTCTAAATATCTACATGTCTCAAATACAAACTACCTTTCTTGTTCATGGATGTGCATGTTAAACAACATTTAACAAAATCTATTATCTCTCAGGTCCTGATTTGACTCTTCAATACTATTTCTCTTCTTTCACTTTTGCCTACTACTAAAGATCAATACTTTTACAAATGTCTACCTTTCTCTTGGCCCATGTTTGGCATTCTTGAGTTTCTGCTTCTTGACTAATGAAATAACTATTATTAACTCTCTTCTCTCTTACACTTGATCTAGAGAACCAAAATATTTTATAACTTTGGTGATAATGATCTGTGTTTTACTTAACGTTGATAGATTTATTTACTTCTCAAAGGAAAGTTCATGTATAGCAAGACTCTGACACAGCAAGCAACTTTCACTCCCTTACAGACTATTCAAGAACTATTTTTATTCACCTTATCAGTGAATAGAAAATCAAATTATAGATTGGACTAAAAAACTATGTTTGAGTTTTCTCACACAAAGAACTTGAGATATTTATTAAGAGGCAAATGGAAAAAGGAAGGAATATTTTATCTCCTTACACTGTCATTATCTCATCTGAATTATTTTCCTCTCATATTTAAAGAGACACCCACATGAGTCAAAGACCCCTATCTAAACTATAATCATTATGAAAGCAATCAGAGTTGCCTTCCCAATACAGGAATTTTTTGACTAGAAAACACATGATCAATAGGGGACCCAGTATTGAAAGATGGTACCTTAGGGGATCTACAAATAACACCCATGCACCTGGGAGGTCATGATTCAGCAAATGTTAACAAAGCCAGATAAAGTAAATCTAGAAGACTCAGTTGTTGAAAGATAGAGAAATAGCAAGAACGGTAGGAAGCAAAATCAAGAAAAGCATGCCATTCTGAGTAAGAGCTGACCTATTTGTAAGGTAAAGTAGGATGAATCCCAGGGAATCTTTACAGAACATGAGAGAGAAAGACCAAGAAAAAATGGCACCTCAGTGCCAAACTTACCGACACAGCTCACAATGAAACAAGCACTGAGGAGTATGATGGAAATCAGAGCAATGGACCACAGCTTCAAGGACCAGCAGATTCTCTTCTCTATCAGACCAACAAGACAAATGCAAACCTCTCAGGATAGATAACATTGCTCTGAAACACAGAGCAATCTGGACAAAATTCATCAGGCAACTGTAAATTCCATTTCCATATACTTTCTTTCTTATTATTATATTCTTCTACTGATCACCTGTCTTTCTTGAATGATTAATGTTGTCTTCTATGTTCATGTTTGATTAAGTGCTTCTGACTCAGAGACATTATTCTTTCTTTCAAATTCCCAATTCTACTGCCTTGGCACAATCTCTATTGCTTAAATCTGTCCATTTTCTACCCCTTCTTTCCAGATGACTCTTATCATCTCATACATTTCTAACTTGCTATCTGGAGAAACGAAATACTCACCTCCACCTTGAGCTTGCCTTTCTTGTATCATTATGTGAGTCTCTGTGTGTTCAGAAGTTTCTAGAACCTTTTGTATCTCTCTGTCTCCCTGAAAATGTTACCCAAAGACCTGTTTTCATTCAAAGAGGCCAAGGCTCAGATAATAACAGCTCCACACTCTGATATGACTAATAAATGTCCAATGCTAATACACAAAGATCTAAAGTTTCCAGTGATTCAAAGGCGTGGGAAAAACGAAAGAGGAAATTAAGAAACATACCCAAAATTGTTCCTGAAAATCTTAACAGAAATATTCAAATCATTTATTCAGTTTCTAACATGAAGTTTCTCGTTAATTCCTATTCATTCCAGCATACAAAAGAAAACAAATTACATGCCCTAAAAGAATTTATCTGTTGGCCTAAATAAATTGCTACCTAACACACCTTTATATTGGGTACTTCTTTTATGTAATGCTTAATTTCACATGTCCTAAGAAGTAAAAAAAAAGTCTGGTTGAATCAATATGGCTTAAGGGTCAATAAACAACAGAAAGACCCATGAACATTGTTTCAAAACTGTGACTCAGGCTCTACAGCCATTTTCAAGACCCAAACAACCACCAGATGCTTTTTCCAGGATGGTGATTGTTGTACATGTTCCATCTTCCTCTGACTCTATGGCAATTAAGTAAAACCAGCAAGATGCATTTGGTTTCTTATAAGCCAAATATATATATATATATATATATATATATATATATATATATATATATTAAAATTACTTGCAGGTAATGTTTGTGATTTGTTAAACATTATAATTTCCTGCAGCAATTATGACATTCCCATTCTTCTGTAGAAGAAACTTCTATGTACTGAACCACAAGTTTTCCAAGCTTCTAAATGCAGAGTTTCATTGCATATATTGGGTAGTAATAGATGACTTCCCACAAAAACAAAACAAAAGAAAATAAATGCATTCAGTTGAGGAGTTCCTTGTTTAACTCTACCATTATGGAAACATGTTTCTAAGTTGCTTGCCTCTGAAATGTTTATGTGTTTGTCACAAAAGTGGGATAGCAAGTAAATTTAAAATGGCATCCTCTTTCAAAGAATTTTGTCACTTAACTATTAGAAAATGCTTTGGTAATCATAGCCCAAGATTTAATTTCTTGGGTTTTTGATAAAGAAATTTTAGGGGTTTTTCTTCTTTTTAATAAAACTTGTGATTGTGAATGTCACTATCTCTTGATAGATAACCTTTATATTTCAATTTTAATATATATTGTGTGAGTACATTAATGTAAGTAAAGAGAATATTTCTTTGGTTCCATAAAAAGCACAAATATCAAAATCAAATAAATAGAGCAACTTTTACAATATTTTTGAACATTTCTAAAAGACGAGAAACATGGCCTAAATAACTTACCCAGAAGATACCCACATTGTATGTTAGCTCCATGCCACTTTATTTATAAAAACAAACATCTTTTTCTTTACACTACTTTGTTGTCTCTGTTGTTTGCAAGTCTGTACTCTGCAAAAATCAACATGTAAGAAGATGTGGCTTTGTTTACTGAGATTCAAACTTGATGTGATGCTTTAAAATAAACTCAGAATTTTTACAAACATAAAAAAAATTGACTGATTGACTATAAATTGGAAGTCTCCAAGATCTATCCACAGAGGGGTTGTGATTTGTGTTTTCACTATACGGTGGTTCTCAAGAATCTGTTAATTAGTATCTTAATTATGTTAATGTGGCTATGCTCTGATAGCACTAACTCCATCTTGATTTTTCTCTTGTAACACAAGCTGTAACTGATAGTCACTTTGGCAACCAACTGATTGATAGCTATGTTGATAACTGTGCACTGATATGCAAATTAGATAGTTGATGCCTGGAATCTTTCCCTCCAAAATTAACATCTGGAAATTGAGATAATACACCTGGGACTACAAATACAATGGCTTCAGACTCCCATTTTGAGACACACCTCACTATGACAATGTTCTTTAATCATTTTGAATTGGCATCAGCTCTGGAGGCTCTGTCAAGAAGGAACAATTCCTTACTTCATTGCTGATGTTTTGATAACAATAAGGACCCATTCAATTGTCACCCTTGAAGGAACTTTTCTCCTGGACCATGTATACAGTTCTTTCTGTAGAAGTATGATTTTTTTTGTTGTTGTTGTTCATTGCTAGCCTTTTGAGCACAAGTAATTTTCTTTTACCTATTTTCACCTGATTTTACATATTTCAGCGTAAGGTCAGGCAGCACTGACCAAAAGGACACAGATTAAAAATGCTGCTGAACAAGGCTTTATTAAGATTCACTCCCAGGCAAGACCCTCCTGACTAAAAAGGTATCTGGGGAGAAGCATGCGGAGGTGAGCCAGACTGGAATTTTTATTGGGCTTAGAGCAGGAAGGGAGGGCTTGGGACAGGAAAATGAGGTTTTTAGAGTCCCTTGTCCTATTGGGTTGGTCTGGGGAGATTGCTGAGATCCAGGATTGGTCAGGAGACCCAGGTGAGTTGCTTGGTGCTTTGTTCCTCAGCCAACCTCAAATTCTAACATTCAGTTGATGCAAAATGACCACTGTGCTTTAAAGGAAAATAATACAAAATTTTATTATGAGCTAAATGTGAGGGACTCAGGCCTCAGAGCAAAGATTTAAATTGCTTTAAATGAAGAGCTCCAAAGAAAAGGAGGTTGTGACAACTTTTATAGATAGAAAACAAAGATAACTGTAAATTAACACATTCAGTGATCACATGGTCACTGGGGGCATTATATAAGTGAGTTATGGTACAGTGGGGAAATTTTAACCATTTAACTGTGATGGTACCTTACTACATTCTTAGTAGAAGGATTTGGAGATCCTTCCTCATTTGTACACACAACCTCTAGAATGTAGACCTTTCTGTCTATTAACATTACAAACATCATTCACTCAGATGAAATTAGGAGTCAGCTCTTTGTTAAGCTGTGGATAGTTAACCAGGTAAAACCTACATCACAGAAAGTTTACCTAATAGACATGATATTGTTAAGTCAGATACAAAAATCAGGATTAATTAAATGTTTTCTAAATGTTGAGGGCCACAGCCAAGTTTGGATGATGCATGGCATTTTTGCCAGAATGGAGTGGTTGAGAGGTGATGCCAGCAAGCCATTGAGATGATCATGGTTATGTTAAGCTGTGTATTCAATTGTATATTAGACCCCTGCTGTCCGCCTCAGCCTGCTACTTTGGAGTTCTCACAGGATTCCTGGGGAGTTCACATTGGTTGGGAAGTGCCGGAGGAGGGATTTCCAGAGGAGGAATTTCCAGTTGGTGTGTGGTGTGTCCCAGGAGAAGGCTGCGTGCATGGCGTTCACGGAGTGTGAAGAATAAAGGAATTCCTGTTTTGAATCTATAAGAATGTGTGGTGGCTCGGTTATTTTGTGCCCAGCCAGACTGCAGCATCTAAAGACCAAATTAACCTTTTAAGATAAGCCTCGGGTCTCCTATAAGTCTCCAGTAAGCATTCCTGTGTTTATTTTACATGTTTGTGTTTGGGGAAGATATTGTCTATCTAGTTCATGCTTGAAAAAAATCTAATGGAATAGTATCTTTGGGAAAGTTTAATTTCACATTCCTTTTGTTTATTTTTCCTTATTGTACTTTTGTACACTTTATAGTGAAATGATTACTTTGAGAACTATCTTTGTTTTGCTGGACAATGGATAAAAAAATGTGTTATATATACACAATGGAATTTCTGTCTATTAACATTACAAACATCTCTATATTATCAAGGAAGCATTTTTAAATATAAAGAAATTTACTGTGGATATATGTATATTAAAATTATGATCCTAGGATATACTAAGAAACATATACTTGATCTTCCTCCTCAGTTCTAGGCACACAGCTTCTAAAACTCTTGAAATTTTCTGGGCTGTAGGAATGATAAGAGTATCTTTTGTTACAATATTTGTGTTTTTCTTCCAATTCCCAAAATAGCTCCAGAGCAAGAAAGATAAAAGGAGCCAGTTTGGTTATTCATAACAAGACCCTTTCAACCATACCCAAGTTATCTTTGATGGTCACCAAGATAGCTTCAGAGTGGGTGCTACTTGGGATTAGAAAGTTGAAACTTTCGATCCACCATGGCCACAGGTTTAATTAAATGTGTCTATGTAATGGATTCTCCATAAAAATCATGGACACAGTATTGAACTCAATAGGACCTTTTAAGTGTCAGGGCAGTTATAGCTATAGGTAATGATGAAACAGACTTTTTGGTTTGAGATGCAATAAATCACAAGGAGAGATGTGGTTATAACACATGACTCTCTGTTTCCAGTTCCCCTTCAAGATGAAGAAACACAACCTCCAGGATTGAGTCACCTAAATGTTCAGGAAGAGAAGCATTCTCTTCAGTTATATATAGATAAAACAATTTTAATACCTTTTTGCTTCCTTACCCTTCTCCAATTTATGCTCCCCTAATTGCTTTCTTGTCTTGACCTATGCTGTATTCTCTTTGCTTATTTCCATTCCTTTGTCCTGAACAGGTTTCTAGATTATAGTGATATGTCTTTAACTAAAGAGTGCTGAGGTGGTAGAAACAAAGGCAAAATGATGAGATATACCTAAACAAAAATCCAGGTGTGGTTGTGTACTCCTGTAATACCAGAAGAGTTTGAGGAAAGAGGACAGCAAGAATAGAAAATCAGAACAAGAGCAGAATTGTGGGTAACCTCAAATTAAATTTGCAGATAAATTAGCCTGTGTAATGAATAATGCAAACACTAGCAATAAAGACAGTAATAATTACCAGAGATTGAAAACAAAACCATATACTAATACTATTGGAGACAAGGCAATTTTGTTATGTTTTGGGTTGACCTCTTCTAAATAAAACATGCTATTTCCTATTACCACTGGTTAATAAATTCTTCATAAACCAGTCTTGGAACTATTCTCTATCCCTGGGATTATACCAAAATTCTGGAAATTACCAAATTGCAAATAATAAAAAATGAAAGTTTCTGATTACT